TGCAAGTTGAAAGCGTACTGAGAGGAAAAAAAATATTGACTTAAAAGTGCTAAAAATTATTTTGAGAAGCAGAAAGTATAGTAAAGATACAAAAAAAAAATATATATATAAAAGTTCTATTTACTCGGCAACTGATGAGAGATTATATGTCAAATAAATAAAGAAGTTACCTAACAACAAATTTTCTGAGAAAACAACTGCTGCTTGATAATTTACCTGAAAACTGTGTTGTTGCTAATAATGGTCGTGAAAATAAATCTTAGATTGACCGAAATAATGCTAAATAGTTTATAGATGTCATCAACTTTTAAAAAAACACTAAAAAATATCTTAGAAAAAGCTTTGATATTTGATATAGCAATAAAACTGATTGTAAAAAAGGCTAAAATAAACAGAAAAGAGAAGAAATGCACTTGTTTTGTGCAGTATTATTGATAAAGTGTTAAGAGGAAGTGGAAGAATGTTAAAACTTACCGGTAGCTAAGTTTTATTGATTTATAGTGATTGTTTACCAGATTAAACTAGAGATTAAACTAGCATCAACCTGATTAAAAACTACTTTTTAGATTTCTTGGCGATAAAACTTCTGCAAAAAATGGCAAAAAGTTTGCAGATAAAGCTCAAAAGTTTTTTTCACCTGTTGACAGTCAATCAACACTTCTGTTTGAAGCCTTAACAATGAAGAGTAATCGCAAAGTAAGTCATACTTAAGCTGCCAAAAACAGCAATAAATAACAAAACATAAGGTGTAAAGTAAACATATGCTACTCATTTACATATAATAACAACTAATGCAACTTTTACACTCAAATTTTTCTTGATTGAATACAATAAAATTTTAAATGAGAAAAAAAGATTTTTGCACAAAAAAGATAATCTTTCGTTCTTTGTAAATTTAGTTGTAGAAAACAAATATATGTCCAATTTTGATGTTAAATTATTAGGCCTTAATTTGCCGAGTTAGTTGAACAATTTTACTTTGTCTTAAACCAAAATACTGCTATATAACCTAATCAGCAACAGAAATCTTAAGCAGTTTTTGCCATACTTTATTCATCGCTTTACAGTTTTGTTTGCCTTCTAAAAATTCAGCTCAGTTTTTATTAATCTTTAGTTAAAATTATTAGTTTTAATTTATAAGTAAACCTTTCTGTATTCCTTTTTTTTTTAGCTACTGCTCCCAATATACACTCATTTTAAACTTACAACCTGTATTCAAATAATTTTTTTTAATATCTCAAGATGTTATTTTGGTCTCGTAAGTGCTTACATCGCATAATGAATTCTGTCGGATTATTAAGAATGAAGAGTAATTCTTGATGCATAATAGTAAATTATTAAAGTTACAAAATATCATTCATAAACCAACCAAAAGAATAAACTCTTTTAACCTGTAAAATTGTGGTACAAAAAAAAAGAGAGAAGAAAGTCACTTTTTTGGTCAGTTGATAGAGGTAGTAAATTCTGAACTTTTTGCAGCCAAAGAAGCTTTGTTTTTGTTTTTTTTTTTTTTTTGATAGGAGACTCTTTTTCTTTCCGTTTATTTTTTGCCAAAGAAGAAGGCAGAGAAGCGGAGAGGCGGATAGGTTTCCTGAAGTTACTTGACACCTTCATACAACTGAACAAAGAATGACCCTGAAGCCTTAGAAAAGTAGAATAATTCTTTTGAAAAGTTATAAATTAATTTATGCTCCAGATTTTCTTGCAGGACAGAAAATTAGGTAGTTAAATTCTTTTGCAAAATTTATAAATTATTCGTGAAGACACTGTAGCATTTTCAGAATTTGTACGTATTTTTTTTGGTGCGAAAGAAGCATGTTCCTTTACAGCAGCTCTCCTTACTCTTCTTATGTCATGTCTCTGGCTTTCCCATCAACCCTTCTCTTTTTGAAATCCTGAAAACTAGAAAATAACCTTTATTGTGAAATGGAGACTATTGAACTGTAAGTAAATTACAGACAGCAATCAGCAGAGAAGAACTAAGTGAATTAATTTTGCTGAAGAATCAGTTACATTAATAGTGGGTGCAGGGGAAGATAGCGAAACCATCTGTATCCATAAGATCAGTTTCAATTACAATCGTTATGTCGTTTAAATGGTATGTTGATACGTGTAAAAATATGACAGAACTTCAATGAACCTAAATAGCAGTTAACTAAACAACAAAAACTACTGTTCAATTCATACCAGTTACTTATCAGAATTGAATGTCACCTTCTGCATATTTCTGAAATTGTAATTTTTGATACTGATACATTGACGGTGGTTCGTTTTGCCGTGCTCTTCAGAGTCATAATCCCAAGTATAAAGAGTTATTAGCAGTAAGGGTGAGGAAAAGGGTATGCAAAAAAAAAAGTAAGGGTATGCAAAACAGTGTTTTGGGGAGAGTAGAAAGCAATGGAATTTGAAAGAAAAAAAATTTAAGTTTTACGAATGAGCTGTTCTGACGTGAAAAACGTCAATTACGGATGATCAGTTTGTGCCATTTAGGTAAATAGCTTTTTTTACTTTAAAATTATCGGTCTGCAAATGTATTTTTTTGCATTTTACTTTAAATTTTTTATCTGTTAATACATAAATATTTTTTTCAGTGATTTAATTTAAACCACAAAATACAAGATTGATGAGGTATGCATTTATTAGACACATCTTTTTTGTTGTTCAATATTTGTCTTTAAAAATTATCCACCTCTGTCTTCTTCCTTTTTTTGGTATTTATGTGTATGTATGCATGTTTGGGTAGGCGGATAAACCAATTGGGAAATAATACTGTTTATAGTTTCCTGCATTTCTTTTTTCACTGCCCTCATAGGGTATAGTTCAGAAATGTTCCACTAGTTCCCTTTGCTCTTCTTTTGGACTTTGAATTAACTATCATATATTAAAGATGGATGATTGGAAAAAGCAAAACGAGTAATATCGATCTAATCAGTCATTATTTGTGTGTGTGTTTGTTTGTTTTTTTGCTCAAGTAACATTTTTTAACCAGCGTTGTTGACTGCTTAGCGACATTGGCGGAACTTTAAAACCAATTCATTGGACAAAATGACAATTTTTTTGGTAAAGAGACTCTTCAGACGGTATTCAGTGGCCTCTGTAAAACATGTTGACCGAGATGGAAACAATAATTGAAGAAATATTTATCAAAAATAATGGCTCGACTTTGGCAAACCTTCTTTGTCTCTGTTGTCGTTGGTTTTGCATTTGCTGTAGTTAAGCTTCGTTTAACCTCAATAATGATTTTTAACGACTGTTCAAGGGTGAGTGTTGTGACTGTTTTCAGCGGTGTCACCGATATGTCGTTATTTGTCCCGTACTGCTGAACTGTATGTGTTGTTTGTTCCGTTGACTATGAAGACTTTTCGCACAATAATATTGTCTGCTTAGATACTATGGAGCATTTTATGCTCCAACTAGGAGTCCTCATTTATAATCAAAACGGTTACAATCATCTGATTTATGCTGTATTTTTCCTTTTATTTTTTCTTCCTCTGTTTTTTGATTTTCACTATTTTTTTTTATTGGTTTATATGACAAAACGGAAACAGTTTATTCGTTTTATTTTTCACATGTACACTGCGGGTACATATATGATACAATAGACTAGCCAAAATGAAATACACTTTTGTGTCATCTTTTTCTACTTTTTCTTTTACATCCAAAACCTGTTAGATGATTTTGGTGATGGTACTCTTATTATTTTCTTGTTTCATTGACGGAATTAATGTAGTTTTATACCAAAGAACATGCAAAAACTGTCTGCTTTTTTTTTTTTTTTGACAAAAACTAAGGTTCCATTATTTGCAGGTGATCAACGTCCAACTAACACACCATGCAGCCGAGCTGTATGTTCATCGGTCCGGCTCTCTGCTCATCCTTTTCACTAATGGGCCCTGCAGCCTCCACTAATTTGGGCGCATTCTTCCCGCCCATATTCCTCGGCCATCACCTTTTCGTTTCTGCTTTTTTTTTTTTTCGTTCGTTCGTTTGTTCGTTCGTCTGTTCGTTCATTCAACCCTTCGTTCATTTGTTCGTTCGTCCGTTCATTCATTCGTTTGTTATTGTCGCGGTTTTGTTCGTTGCCTTTTTGATGCTTCTTTGCTTTCAATAATTTCCGTTCCTTTTTTTTTTTATTACTTTGCTCTCTGTCACTCCTTCTTATCAATTTTCACACTTCTAACTGCACCATATCGTAGCGAAGTGTTGTCGTTATTGTTGTCGCTGATGTTGTTGTTGTTGTTTTTGTTGTTGTTGATAATCGAAATGAAATCAATTGCAAAGAAGTATAAACTTTAGTTCGTTAATTGGTTGGTCATCTCCCAAGTTTTTTATTCTTTTTGTTAAATTGACAATTCATACCGGTCAGTCAATTGACTAGAGCTGTAGTCTGAGGCTGCGTACAACTAGTTGTTATTATTATGTTGTTAATTGTTCTTGATAACTACCTGATCACCCAAAATATTTTTTAAAAATTGTTTTCAGCATCTAATCACTTTGCCCAACACACGTTTTTTGTGTAACTTTTTATCCGTAATCTTTTCTTAGTTTAGAAAATGGTACACAAATGGGGTGACAAGTGAATTTTTTATTTAAAAATGGAGCTTAAAGTTAGTGTGGATGGTGTTGAACGTTGCATCTCCGGCTTAACCGAAGACACAACATGTGCGCAAATCATTTACGCATTAGCCCATGCCACCGGACAGAAAGGTCGATTCGTTCTAGTGGAGAAATATCGAAATATCGTGAGTTGCTTTTTATTTGATCTTCTTATTCAAGGGTTTTGAATGGTGTATTTGCTAAAAATAATGCACGATTATTGATACTGGGGTAGCGTGATTTGTTTGGATACGTAAATTTAAAGCAGCTGTTGGAAACTTTAGTTACAGAAGATTTGGCTGCAAGGTCGGTGCTTGTGTAAGTGGCAGACGTACATAGTACTTCTGCTGCTGGGACTGGAGGGAGACGGTTGTTTGTTAGATTAACTATTGTAAATCGTCCAAAATTTTTCGCCAGTTACTTTCAAGGAAGTGGGTCTTTTTTGGGTAAAAATTATTTTTTGTTACTAGCGTGGGAGAGGTATGTGTCTTATTGCGAAACATTTGTATTTATGCCTTCCAAGGCTGGTGTAAGCAAGTTTACTAGTCAGCTTCTACGGCTTTTCAACATATATTCAAACTCTCTTGAGTGGTAGTTAAAGGTTCTTGTTTACCGCCATCAAGAATGATGAAGAAGTTGGATTACAGTTTGCTCTATTTTTCCTGCTTTTGTCTCTAGTTTTTTTATAAAAAACTCAAGAATTGATGAATTAATGTTTTCATATATTTTGGTAGCGAAAATAATTGTGACTTTAAATGCGTGGACGGAGTTGATTGAGGTGCTGTGGTGATGGAAATGTGTGTTTATTTAAATGGATAAAAAAGAGTTTTGCCTTTGCGTAATGGTAAAAAACTGATAAACAGAAAGAATTCTTTTTTAAACTTCTTCTTAGAAACACTTTGTTTTTCACTACCCACTAAATATAAAATTTTTGAGCTGGAAATCATTACAGGAGCGAAGCTTGGCGCCGACAGATAAACCTTTGGAAATGCTAAAGAAGTGGAGTGAGCATTCACAGTTTGTGAACTTTGTGTTAAAACGTCTTGATGCTCCATCGTCTTCGAATAATAACGAGAGTTTTTCATTGAAATCTGCTTCTGATATGTCGTATCAGAACCTTTATAGTGACTCACTTGTCCCAGAAGTTAGTTCCCTTTCTTGATACTCTTATTACCATTTGAGTTGTGCTGTTGCCTATTGTTGCTTATTTTAGTGCGCGTAAGGAAAATCGTTAAGCGCATATGTTTGTTTCGGTTTTTTTTGTTGTTGCAATGACCTGATTTTTCTTATCTTTTTTATTGGAAGTCTGATTAATAGTTTTTGCTGCTTTGGAAATGTTAGTCCTGCATCCTTTACTTTTTTTTCACCTTTAGTCTGTGATGTCTTTCAATCCCGAAAGGAGCAGCAGCCCGATAGTTAACCTTCAAGAGCAGAAAGTTTACGCGCAGCCAGTGTCCACTTTTAAGCAACATTCGAGCAAAAGTGAAACACATGAGCTGCCAAAAAGCTGTTCTGATGCCTCTTTCAGACCAAGTTTTTTGGGATCTCTAAGTAATTCCTAAACTCCTATACATTTCCTTGGTTTTCTGTAATTTTTTTCTTAATTTGTTTTTTTTATTTCTTGGTTTGATCTATTTTTTTATTTTTTGGTCAATAAATTTTGAAGTGTTTTAGAGGACGCCGCTCCACAACACTTCTATTCCACATCGGCTATGCCTCATACTAGCTCTTCAAAAGTTCGTCCACCGCCTCCAGGTTCTTTTGCTTTTCATTTTTCTCTTCTTCTTTAGTAAGCTTGATATGACTTTGATCTGTAAAAGTTTATTATCAAAGTGTCTTAGGTGACAAAAGAAAGTTTTTTTTGAAAAGTTGTCTTTTGTGTTCTCTCAAATAAATTTGAATTGTGTGTCAGTCATTCATGTGAAGCTTGTTTTTTACAGCTTACCATGAGGTGATTGAGCAGCGGTATAACTCTTTGACGAGGGGTTCGTCTTTTGCAGTACCACGTCCGCAAATATGGTTATCAAGAAATGCGCAACAGAACGATACTGCAGATGCTACAGCGTACGTTACTTTCACTCTTTCGCTTTCCTGTTCTTTATGTTTACTAGCAGCACTGTTGGCTTGCTAGGACATTTTGTTATTATAACCAGCTTTTCAACATTTACTTGTTTCTTTGATGAATTCTAAAGAAATTTCTTTAGCATAAGAAACATTCAGCTTTTTTGTCTCTGTATTTCTGATAGAAACTTAAAAAGAAGCCTGCTTTGTCTTTCAACTTTGTCAGCTTTTCCAACCTTGTTATTTTGCAAACTTGTATTTTTATTGTCTTGGTTAGCTTGCTTAATTAAACGGTGGTATTTTTATTTTTTTTATTTTAGTGCGATCGTTTTTGAATTTTCACTCACTAACTTTTATAAGTATTAAATTTTTTTCAATAAGAGAGTCTGATTGTCTAAGTATTTATCATGGTATATGTACTGCTGTTTTAAAATAACTAACCTTTTTAGTATTATTGGAGCGTCGGATGTGATTCTGAAAGAGTCGAGTTTAGCAATAAGTGGTGGTAATTGCTTACTTCTCTCTATTTTCTGTTTCTATTCAGTTCTTTTTGCTCATTTTCACTTGCTTTAAATTTAAATAAATCTATATCGTCTAGCTAACCTGAGTGTAGCAGAATTAGAGAGATTGATAGATGATCAGCAAGCTATTATTGAGAGGCAGAAGGCTTTCCTTCTACAATTTGACACTTCCGCCACAGACGGCGATCAACGGGAACTCATGCAAGTATGTCTAAGTTCTGCCTTGAAAAGTCATTACTTGTCCTTGACTTGAGATCAGAATTGGTGTTTTGATTAGTGTTTTTCTTTTTTTCAGCTGGAAAGGCAGCAGGCTAATCTTCGACTCGTTCTAAATCCCTTAAGGGCGCGAAATATACCTGAACTATTACAAAAAGAAAAGTCAGAGCTAGAACACCTACGGACTATGATTTCTCAATTGAAGCAGAAAACTGATACAAACGCTAAGTTCGTTTTTTTTTTTTTAACGGTTAGGATAATTTTTAAGAGGGGTGCCACGTCAACTTACTTCTTAAAAATTTCAATACTTTTATTTATGAGTCAGTAACATTTGCAGTAACTGTTATTTTAGGGAATTACGTGAACAGTCATTGTTAGAAATTAAGCTTAGCGAACAAGTTGCTGCATTGGAACAGGAACTTAGTAGTTTGGAAGCCTCTTCGACACCTCCTGATGACAGCTTGGAGCAACCTGTACGTGAGATGCTAATCTCTTAGGAAGTCAGTCACCTTTGGTAATTTGAAGTACGCCTAATGTAATTAGTTTTTTCTGTTGTGAACCTCGGCCAGTTGATGATAGTGGCTTAAAACCTTAGAATTAAACGCGAACTTTCTTTACTTCTACTTATTTGTTCTAATAATTGCCCTTATGTTTGTTATAAATGTTACCATTGTTATTATCATTATCGTTATTTTTTTTAGTGAACTGTACTTCCAGTTTCAAAGAATTGATTTATATGGTTGACGGCTTTTTTTTTTTT